GAATTGGATGCGTTTTGAACTGCATCCGATTCGCGTGACATGTGAACCAAAATCCTTTTCTATGTAGTCGGTTAACATATGTGCAGACTGACCGCAGTGTGATTGAAAAAAGTTCAGTATGATTTTCAGCCCAGTTCAGATGTGATTTCCAATGTCATACAGTTTAACAATTCACATTGGAATTGCAAGTGAACCGCTGAACGAAACTGCACCGGACTGTTATACAAATCACACTAGAAGCCAGCCCTGCACATATGTGAAACCAGTCTCAGTAAATATCCCCTGATGTGTCCCATTGTTTAATAAGATTGAACAGATATCCTGTGAGAGATATCTTCTGTATTCATTTATGCCAGATTAAAGCCGGCCATATATGGGTCGAATTCCAAAAGAATTTTCTTTCAAAAATCTTTTCTAAGAATTTTCGTTTGAATTTCACATCATTAGTGTGTCACAGAAATGGGCAATTTTCATGTGACCATTGAATTTGAGTGATCGGGCAAATTTGGATTTGATTTGGAAAAATGAACGAATTTCAAATCAATGATGGGAGAATCGTGCGGGAAATATAAACGAAAAAGAAATGAACATGAACTGTGACCTGGAGAGAAAAGAAAATTCTTGGTCACAAATTCTTTTCTGTAGCAACCCGAGGTGAAATTGAAGGCTTGTTTGGTCAAATTTCTAAATCAATGGTGGCACCATCAGACTACGAAACGCACAACATTTCCGATTTTCTAAAGAAACAATTGAGTACTGTCCGTGATACTTTTTTTTATTTGCACTAACATACAATTTTGAGGACTAAAGAAAATTAGTTCGGAATTGGACTCATGTATATCCTGCATAAGATACACCTTTATAGGAAGGGGGTACATTTCAGCCTCTGCCTTCCTATGTCATTGCTTGTCTTGGTAGAGGGCTCACAGCTGTGACAAGCTTCGGCTATGAATCAGCCATCTTCATCATAGCTGTTGTCGAATCCACCACGGCAGGAAGAGAGTGGGACAGGTCAGACCTCATAACTAGGGTTAAAAAGCATGATCATGGTGGAGGAGCCTATAGAGATGAGGATGCCCTTTCCTACACCTCTGGCTCAAGGCCCCTGGCAAAGCAAACAGGTGGCACCAGGGCACTTAGTAGCACAAGTGCCTCATAGTTCTTGCCAGAAGCTGGAACAGGTAGACAGGTGTATCTGAACCAGTTACCACTGAGTAGCCTCCTCTCGGGAGATAACGGAACGAGGACTGGACACAGGGATACCAGGCCACAACTCCCCAACAGAGGGTAACAAGCGCAGGAACAGCAAACAGGTGGAAGGTAGACTGCTGCATAGACTGTGACCTGTATGTGGGCAGGAGTGTCGTCTGAGGGACTGCAGGGGATGAAGATGACCATGACACAGAAATTCAAGAATGGTGCCAAGTCAGACCAGCTGGGTCAGTGACTGACAAACAGATCAAGTACATAAACGTAGGCAGAAGCCTAGTCAGGGTTCAGTCCAGAGCAGGGATGGACTGACAACTCATGGGGCCCCTGGGCAATAGGGGATCATGGGGCCCCTGTGTCCTTGCCCAAACTCAAAAAAGCCTATGAAAAAGGTACCAGGGGCATCTCATGGGGCCCCCTACTGACCCAGGGCCCTCGGGCAGTGCCCAAGTTTCCAAATGGTCAGTCCGCCCCTGGTCCAGAGTGAGTAACAGACGAGCAGGTCAGAAAAAGAAGAAGTGGGCAAAAGCATATCCATGTGCAAGGTGGGGTCTGTAGAGGTGGACAGCAAAGTCAGGTCAAGGCAAGCAGGGTTGGTAACAATAAGACAGGTGTCACAGGTCACAGATTTCACAGGAACACTACAGACAAGACAACACTGGCTGTATGCAGTTGATCAGTTGAAATAGCCTGTCTGGCACTAGCATTAGAGGCAGGCGCACATGCACATTTTCATGCACACATATGTGCACTGTCTCACAGAGAGGGACAGAACTGTAAAAAAATCTAATGATGGATCTTCTTTAAAGAGGTATTAAACCCAAAAGCAAAGATTTAGGCTGCGTTCACACTGATCTGTTTTTTTTTTGGCTTTTGCATTAAAAAAAAGAAGAAAAACATGTGACCATGTATTTCTATGGAACTCTTCACACTGATCCGTTACAGGTCTGGTGCGTTTTTTAAAATCTTGCTTGTTGCATTTTTGGGGCAGGTCTCGTTTGGTAAAAAAAAGTGCCAAAAAGCACCTCCCCATTGAAATCAATAGAAAATGTGGCAAAAACGCATAAAAAACCCATCAAAAACATACCCATGCTGCGTTTTTGGCGTGGCTTTTGAGTCACATGTCCTGTAAAAAATGCTCCACAAATGCGGTTAAAATGCAGTCAAAATGCATATGCATTTTATATATGAAAGTCACCTTATTATATTGCAGCTTGCCAATTCTTAGATGTGATAGCTGCATTATATTTCCTTTTTTTAGGCTTTCTTTCCTCTATTTTCATTTGGTGATCTGGCTGGTAAGTCTGCTGTCTTTCAAAAAAAAACAAGCTCTCTTGCAGATGCATACCAGTTACAGGGATGAGACAAACCATTTACTACTGAAAGGGGTGCTTACAGTGATCATCTATTATTCATTTATGTAAAACCTTTATCCCAAAAGGAAAAAAAAAACTGTGTGTTTGGTGGAGTGTGGCTTTGGTTTGTTAGTGTATTTCAATCTCTTGGTACATCTAACACTAACCTTTCCCTCAGACTGACAATGCTGCTGTCTGTGCTCCTTCATACAGAGTGGGGGCACTCTAATACAGGTGTATCACTGTCCAGATCACCAGGTGATAACAGAGGAGAAACAATTCTAAGAATAAAAGCTTATGCACACACCACATCTAATGAATCTAATACATTTTTGGTTTTGGGTTTAATACTGCTTTAAGTAACTTTAAAAGTCTGCTTGTAAAATACATTTAAAATAGTCAATACTATTTAAAGCTAGCCATTCTTAGATTAAAAGTCATCCGATTCAGCAGATTCAATCCATTTAAGGGCAGGCTGATTGTACCCATGTTGATCCATTGATCGACTTTGGTACAACCAGCCTGTCGGATCTCTTTACATTTGGTTACTGCTGTTAGCCACAGTATAGCCGCTAGCAGTAATCATTGAGTTCTGCCTACCAGGAAGGCTCCCTGTGCCCCCTTCCAGCAGAACACAATAGCACTTCAGAAGGTATTTCCCCATTAACACTGACTGTGTTGATGGGGGAATTGAGTGATTTTCATGGTGTGAGGAAAGTAAATCAAGTTATCTATGGGCTTGCTGTAGATGTAACAACTATTTTAATGACCAACGTGATTATACATTACATTTATTTATATATGATTTTGTTGTCTGGTTGTAGCCCTGATGAAGAGGTGGATTTCTGGTGCTCGAAACACATTTGCTCTGTTTTAAAATCATCTTTACGATCATACATCGGAATAAATTTGTCTAACAATTACCTATGGAGCGGCACTTGAATCATAGATTTTGCTAGCTACAGTACAAAACCTTGATGTGTAGAAGCTGCCAGACAAGAATCCAAATCCTCAGTCAAAACATCATGGCAATGCCACTAGATAAGTAACACCATCAGGATAATCTTAGAGGTCCAGCACAAGCAATTTATTGTAGAAGAGACATGCAATATCTCTTCTGCAATAAAATAACCTTACCTGCCTGTAGGGAGGTGCAGCATGGTGCAGCAACAATAAACACTCAGAGTCCAGTTGCAGAACTTGTATTAATTGTAAAGTTCAAACTTCACATCAGCCCAGTGGGAAGGCACCCAACTGGGAACACTCACAGGATGTAACAGCAATGTATATCTGAGCAGGTCTTGGATGTGCTGACAGCATCTGTGTTGAAGGGCAGAATGCGGCCTGGCTGGTCCGTGCCGGAATAGGAAGATTCCAGGAAGGATGGCGTGCACATACCCTTTCCCTATTAATCTGGAACCTTTCCCTACTGCTATTCACTGTCCTTACGCTACTCACATGTGAAATACGTGCCAAACCCAGGAGCTAGGGTCTTAAGTAGACTCTGCCTGACCCAAGATGGCCTCCAAAGTCACATGGGGCAGCAGCATCCAACCCGATAGTTTCCCCAGTGACTCAGGAAACTATAGAGGAAGCATGTTCCTCCCGATTTCCTCTCTCTCTGCAATGCCACTGCAGATGAGTGCCATCTGCAGTGGAGAAAGCAGAGTGCACCTGCCTACATGCCTGCTTGTGGTGTTCTGTATAATGTATACTGAGTTGCATGTGCACAGTTCAATTTACATTCTTGGCATTGTGCTAGGGTGACTGATACTACATTTTCCTGCAAGACAGCAAAATGCCCGCACCTGAAAGAAGATGGGGAGAAGATGCCGATAAGTAGGGATAAGCCAAACTGCCCTGGGTTCAGATGCCAAGCCATATTGAAATCCATGGGAGCCAAATCTGTCAAATGAAAAATGCCTATTTTCTGGGCTAACAGCAAAGAGCTGTCAAAAAATAGCATGGAACGTGGACACGACCGTGGGGAACATGTACCAATGCAAAAAAAAAAACTTTTTCAAAATTCTATTTGGCTGGGAGCATTTTTTTTTAAGCATTCATGTTTACAAAGGAAAAAAATAAGTGTTTTATTTCCTTACTAGCTTCTTAAAAAAATGCACACAGACCACTCCAAAGGGCTTCAGAAATATGTATCAGACCATTGAACTGTCAATCATTGGGGCAGCACAGTGGCTTAATGGTTAGCACTTCTACCTGGTAGCACTAGGGTCACTAACTGCCTGGAACTTGTATGTTCTCCCTGTACCTGTGTGGGTTTCCTCTGGGTACTCCAGTTTCCTCTAACATTTCAAAGATATACTGGCAGGTTAATTGGCTCCTGTCTAAATTGGTCCTAGTATGTATATGTATGAATGTGAGTTAGGGACCTTAGATTGTATGCCCCTTGAGGGTTAGGGACTGATGTGAATATACAATATATGTATGCAGGGGTGGACTGACCATTTGGAAACTCGGCACTGCCCGAGGGCCCGGGGTCAGTAGGGGGCCCCATGAGATGCCCCTGGTAACTTTTTCATAGGCTTTTTTGAGTTTGGGCAAGGACACAGGGGCCCCATGATCCCTTATTGCCCGGGGGCCCCATGAGTTGTCAGTCTGCCCCTGTATGTATGTGAAGGGCTGCATAAATTGATGGTACTATATACAGTAAGTACCATAAATAAATGTAAAGAAAGGGTTCAGGGATAGTAGTGGCCATGTGCCCATATTTAGGCAATGATGTCACCCTCTATCCCCACCCCCTTTCTTACATGACCAGAGATTCCTGGCCATGTAAGCAATGGGCTGGGTGGCATCAGTGGTTGGTAAGGACACAGCAGGTGCAAGCACCCCCTGCTTCCTTAGCAGCCATTGACAGCCAGACGCTGTCTTGTTGGTCCACACCCAAAAGCCCTACATGTACCCAGTTCAGTTGAACGTCCAAACAGCATGTATTCAGTCTGAACTTATGTTTGGACCAAACACTCAGCTCATCCCTACCAGTGGGGGACCTTGAGGATGTTGGTCTATTGGAGGAAAAGTAAAAATTGTAGATTTTAGTTCTGCTTAAAGTTGGTAATGCTATTGACAGACTACATCATACTGTGTGTACTTTTTTAATGCACCCATACTTCCACTTTAAACCTGATCTGATGCATTTTGCTCTTCACACACCTTGGCAGAAATATATTTCACAATGACAGGTACACAGGTCTGCATATGAATGACCATTTTGATGGGTTCATGGGCTGCATTGTGCTTCCCTCTGGAGTAGAGTCAATTATTTATATATGTCAGCAAATGAACAGCACAAGGAGCCCTTCCCTATAGACTGACAACTGAGCTGCTAATTTTAGCTCCCTTTCGTTTCCCATGAAGCTGAGTTATGTAATCGGGTTTGTGTCACAGCAAGGCAGGGTTAGCACTTCGTAATAGGAGATAAAACATGCAATTGTATTGTGCGCTCTGCTGCTACTGCTGCTTAATAGATGGAGACCACTGGGGAAGAGAATGGGGAAATGGAAGAGAGCACCAATCTTGCCAACACACATCCATAGCTCCACCGTGCCAACGTATTAGGGATGAGGATCTGAAGGACACTGTACCCCTGTTTTTGGGCAGCACAATCACTTTATTTAAAGTATACTTAATACCAAAACTTTTTTTTATTTCAAAAAGTATTTTCTATATGTGTCACTTTGAGAAGATTCTTCTATATTTCCTGCCCTGTTGGCGCAACATAAAGTGAGCGGAAATCTATCCAATGTAAGGAAAATCCTGTCATTAGAACAGGTGTCCACATTGGAAGATTTATTAAAATAGAAACCTGCTGACAAAGTCCTTTATTAGGAAAAACTGAAACACAAGTGAATAAAAAGTTCTTAATTTAAAGAATTCCAGGGGAAAAAAAAATCCTGCATGGGTTAACTGCTATTTTTTGTCTAGTGGTGAGGAGAGTGGAGATATACTTACCTAATCTGTTTACCCTCCCAGCGCAAGACCAGTCCCTGCCGCTTCTGCCCCCTACCCCCATGCTCTAGCAGTCTTGTGCAGTGGTCTGTTCCTGACATCATCACACCCATTGAATGGTTCTGGACATGAGGATGGCAGGAACAGTCCACCGCTGGACGTAGGGAAGCACCGTTTTCCAGAGAATCGAAGGATCGGGTGGGGATAATGTTTTTTAAGAAACATTTTTTGCATTGATACATGTCCTCTATGGCATAGCCCAGCCCCCCAAACCCTTTGTTTACTACAGTTCCATGACCTTCATTAAACTCTGGCTACAGCCTCTATCTTCCTCTCAGCAATCTTCACATGAATTTTGTTTTATGGTTGTCTTGCTATTGTGTAAATCATCTTCTGTGCTCAGCTACATAAGGAGCTTTCTCATTGTCTCTTCGTGGATCCGGTTTAGGCTGTAGGACCTCATCAGCACACTTTTGCCACCTTACAGTAACTGTATTCAATAGTATTTTTATTACACAGGATTTATATAGCGATAACAGTTTATGTAGCACCTTACAACATAAGGGCAGACAGTACAATTACAATACAATTTAATACAGTAGGAATCAGAGGACCTTGCTCGTTAGAGTTTACAATCTAAGAGAGAGGGTCAAGAGATACAAAAGGCAATAACTGTGGGGGATGGGCTGATGGAGAAAATAAAGGTACAGTTGTTAGGTGGGGACAGGATAGGCCTCTCTAAAGAGATGAGTTCTCAGGGATCGTCTAAAAGTGGAGAAAGTAGGACATAGTCGGACCTTTTGTTTCCAGGTTTGGAGTTTTGGGTCCAGTCAAGGACGCCCTTAAGCACCTTTTGAGAATCACTTTTTGGTACCCTGAATGACTTTGCAAAAGTTCATGTTTTGCTTTTTTTTTTTTTGCTCTCTGTATCTGCACAAGACCCAATGATTCCAACTCTGTGTCTTCCATGAGCTTTAACTCTAAACGGAATAGCTGGTTACTAGATGACCCTTTTACATAACAGCCTTGGTCTGCAATTATCACTTTGTCCTTTCATGTTTATGCATCATACTACACTTCTCTGTGTTACAATGGGCTGCTGTGCATAGAGTTGAATGATGTGTTACTAAAAGAGAGTATGGAAGTATGGGGTTTGGTTTTTCCCCAAATTATACTTACCTAGGTGGATGCAGCATCGTTCGAGTTAAAATCGCTTTAAAACGTTGTACAATCAATCCACAGTGTGCTTTTGTAATCTGTAGCATACTTGCTGTGTGTTGCCTTTAAGCGTCGTGACGTCAGATCATTTGATGAAGCCACGTGACCCGGTGGCGTAACGCATAGGGGAGGGGCTCTGACTTTACGATGATTGAAGGCAACACACAGCAAGTATACTACAGATTACAAAAGCACACTGTGGATTGATTTTACTTTTTAAAGTGATTTTAACTCAAAACACATGTGAGTGAACTAATTTGTTTAATAAATGCTTTAAAAAGAAGATAAGGCACTATGTGCTTTATTAGTCATTATGGTACACATACGTATGGAGGAAGAGTCCTAAGGAAGTGAGGGGATCCCTAACTGTGAAGAGTCATATTTTCATCCAGCTCAAAGTCCAATTAAAGGGACACAAGCCTTATATGACCTCACTTAACAGTTTGATCATATATACCAGGTGAGAGCACAGCCAGTGAAGGTGCACATTTTATTATTGGTGGATTGCACGCAAATCATCCTTGTCACGTCACCAGAAGGCATGTGAAAGTCACGGATTGAATCAGGACATTTTTGTAGCAAAATGCGATTGTAATTTCACATATAATTTGTTCTAGACTGTATTTTATTTTTATCATTTATTTTGATTATCACTTATTTTGATATTTTGATACTTATTTTAGTGGAGCGCGACACTGTTTATATAATATTGCTATGACACATTGGTATGAGTATGTGTAGAGTGTAGGCGACCCACTAATTCTATTTAATTTTTAATTTTATTTCATTGGGTAAAAAATTCACAATATTGATTTAACACATTAAATATTTCTCACACCATAGTAACTCACAAGACCCCACTATTTAAGAGAAAATTCACACTAAGTGCACTGGATGAAACAAGCACACAGTATAAAAGGATCACACTTCATGTCTGAGATTTACAACCACTTTAAGTTAGTTAAACTTAAAAGTATAGTGAAATGCTTAGTAATAACACATTGTACCACCCCTATAGAATAAACACCAGAATGCATATGTTTTTAGCATGCTGGCTGGTCTGAACAAACCTCAATGTAATTCTGGTCCAGTACTGGATGGAATATGACAAAAAGTTGTATTTTCAATCAAACGTGTGGTCATATTTTAGTACTTGTATGCTTAAACTGGCTATACAATCTGGTTGTACAACCTACTTTAGAACTATGTGATATAAGGGTCTCTGCAATTGTATAGAAAATCATTGAAATATATAGTGTTGTCCTCAGATTATAAAGCTTTGATAAATGGGATTATACACTGCTCAAAAAAATTAAAGGAACACTTTGAAAACACATCAGATCTCAATGGGGAAAAATATCATGGTGGATATCTATACTGATATGGAGTGGGTAATGTGTTAGGAACGTAGGGATGCCCCAAGATTTGACGGAAATGAAAATTATCAACCTACAGAGGACTGAAATCAAAGACACCCCAAAAATCAAAGTGAAAAAATGATGCAGCAGGCCAGTCCATTTTTCATTGCAGCAACTCAGAATGGTACTCAGCAGCTTGTATGGCCCCCATGTGCTTATATGCATGCCTGACAACGTCGGGGGCATGCTCCTAATGAGACAACGGATGGTGTCCTGGGGTTTTTCCTCCCAGATCTGGAACAAAGCATCACTGAGCTCCTGGACAGTCTGAGGTGCATCGGATCGGACAGAAAGATGACATTCAGAAAGATGACATTCCAGAGGTGTTCTATTGGATTTAGGTCAGGCGAGGGTGGAGACCATTCAATGGTATCAATTCCTTCATCTTCCAGGAACTGCGTGCATAATATCGCCACATGAGGCCGGGCATTGTCGTGCACCAGGAGGAACCCAGGACCAACTGCACCAGCGTAGGGCCTGACAATGGGTCCAAAGATTTAATCCTGATACCTAATGGCAGTGAGTGTGCCATTGTCTAGTCTGTAGAGGTCTGTCATCCCTCCATGGATATGCTTCCCCAGACCATCATTGACCCACCACCAAAACAGTCATGGTGAACGATGCTACAGACAGCACGTCTGTAACATGTGCTCAGGGTGAACATGCTCTCATCTGTGAAAAGCACATGGCGCCAGTAGCGAACCTGCCAATTCTGGTGTTCAATGGAAAATGCCAATCGAGCTCTATGCTGCCAGGCAGTGAACACAGGGACCACTAGAGGATGTCGGGCCCTCAGGCCACCCTCATGAAGTCTGTTTCTAATTGTTTGGTCAGAGACATTCACACCAGTGGCCTTCTGGAGGTCATTCTGTAGGGCTCTGGCAGTGTTCATCCTGTTCCTCCTTGCACAAAGGAGCAGATTCTGGTCCTGCTGATGGGTTAAGGACCTTCTACGGCCCTGTCCAACTGCCTGTCTCCTGGAATCTCCTCCATGCTCTTG